AGGCGTAGCTGGCCCGTTTATCATCGGATAACAGTTCCGGAGTACATCCTTTGAATGTAACTCTACCCTTGGGTAAACAAGACTAAGGGTTATGACCATTCTCGTTTGTCTTTGCATTCGGAGAATCTTCGCGCGAAATCCCTAGCCAGGACCCAATTAACTGTCTAAGAATTCGATTCTATCCCATGGTAATTCTAAGATAGTACGACTCTAACGACAGATTAGGAAAGACAATATTTGCTGTGATGCTTCTGCGCCTAATCGCGTATTGCCTAGCAGATGTGCTTCACTTAATATCGCTCACTATTTGTCTTTCCTTCCAATAGAAGCTTGAGACTTAAATAAACATAATAATTTAAAGATTATTAAAAATTTTTGATAAATCTAAATTTTTATCATTCATTTGTTCATCATATTTTAAAAATTGATAATAAACTTTGTACATAAATATGAAATTTTTCTTTTTCTTGTAATAAATATAATTTAAGTATTTAAGCTATCTTCTTTTTATAAATTCTAAATTAGGAGAAAAAATAGTAGTTATTAAGAATAAATAAATTTATTATAATGTATTTAAAAGTAATAATATTATAATAATGTAATGGAATATATATATAAATATAAAATTGAAATCATCTTTATATTCGATTTTTATACTCTCTGATATCAATTGTCTAATTATAAAATCACATAAAATTACATTTCATATGTTTTTTCTAATTTCTAATATATTTCTAATTTTTCTATCTATCTTCTAATGGTAATGATTTTTTAATTTAAAATTAATTATTATAATCTATGTTTTCTTCTCAATATCTAATGATTTTATATTTATAGGTACTTATTGTTTCTCTATATCGAATATTATACAAGACTATTATAATTACTAATTGGAATTAATTGCTCTGCAACTCAAATGAAAATAATAAATTAGTAAGATAAAATATATAACAAAAGATATATAAAAATTGAAACTGTCTTCTTATTACTGCAAACTCTTCACTGGCTATATTTTTTGCAGAAAGTCACGTCCAAAATGGAGACAACTCAACTAAATTGCAACGTGTCTAAGGATCCTCCGTGTTCGACCACAGAGACCCGTATCCGCATCTGCGACGGTTTGAATTGAAGATTTTTGCGGACGGTAACTCGTTGGCTCACGCGCTAACGTATTTGCAAGATCCGCTGTGCTGATGGACATATAATGCGACGTGTGATTGTAGGCCCGCCAATCGCGGCCGATTGTGCCTCTGAAGGCCCGCTAACTATCTCAAACTAGCCCCATTCAAACCGCCACGACCTCTCTCTATCCATCTCTATCTACCAACTCGGCCTCTGTATCTCGCTCGTTTCAACCCTTATTCACCACCACCTCCCGGTGCCCGTGCGTCTCGTTCATCCCCGAACTTCGCATCTTCGTTGCTCCCGAC